TGAAGTGTGGTATCAGTTTACATTATATTTTATTCTAGCATCTTGATTAAAAACAAGTTAGCTATCAAGCCCTAATTCATTTTAGGCAGACAAGATGAATTCATTATACTAAGACTTGGGGAGCATTTCTTGCTAAATAAAGCTCTATTATTCACTCAGAAAAAAACATAGAGCCTGGTGCTGCAGTACATCATTTTTCTGTTTTTCCTCTGTCACTTATTAAGTTATGATTCTGTACGTACACAGTACCTTGATTTGTTTAAGTTACATGGATTCTAGGCTGCTTTGTAAATTTCAAGTCTGCATTATGCATGTTTTAATGAAGAATGAACTATGAGTCCCGGGGACAGCTCTGATTCAGTCTTGTCGCACTTCCAGATGTGCACCTGGTTCTTTATTATGTCTCACAGAGGAAGCTGGTAGGTATCTTTCTGAGAGCATCTTGTTAATGAATCAATTTACAGTAAGATGTATATTTGGGGGAAAAAAAGTAGAATTGTAATTATGGTAATGTGGCAAAATAGCTTAAAAATGGAAAATAAACCAGGAATCTAGCTGCTGAAATGTGAACATTGTGTTTCTCTTTAATTTGCTGTTGTCTTGGAACCTAGCTGTTTATGCAGTGCTTTCACCTTCTGTTGCTTGTCTAAGTGCCAGCTTCTTTCCCAAAGGTGTTCAGTGACTAATGCTTTGGTTACAAGCCAGAATATTTTATAAATGTCTATTTCTGGGCAGCTCTTCTACAAGTCTTAATTAAACTTTAATGTCAAGCTGAAGTTTACTTTTAGAACCTCTTAGGTTGCTTTAGTCCTAACATGATTATAGAGTTGGGGTGGTGAGGGGGGGGGATGTGGGACAGCCATATTCCCACACATTTCCTCTCTCCCATTTAACAGTGACACCAAGCAGATGCATACTACTTAACCCCAAGGTTTACAACACAGGCATGAGTAAATCACAGCCATTCCCTAAAATGTTGTGGTAGCACACTGTCACTCAGACTCCTCCACCCTGCAGTAGTGCCCAGGGTTTAGAATTACTGCTTTGTTTGTTATTACACATTCTTCCAGCATATCCAACTGCTCAAATCAAGGATCCCAACGTAGAGATGATGCATATGGAAGTAGCATTCTTTCCTTTCTTCTCCATGTCTGGAAGAGTTATGAGGACTGGGGGATCATTTTCTCTAATTCTGTATGGCTTATTGGGGTAAAGAACTGCATCCTATGCCATCTGAAACAATGAAGTTTCTATTATAGTCAGAATAGTACAAATAGATTTCAATTAAATATGGCAATATGTTATATGTTTATTTTGTAATTAATTTACTCATCAATCGGATTGCTCTGAAGCAAGTGCCTGCATCTTTTATCTGTGAAGGGATAGATAGTACATATTTGAGTTTTTGTGGGACAGAGATCTCTGTCCCAACTACTCGACTCTGTACTCGACTCTGTCACTGTAGTGCAAAAGCATCGCTGTGTTCTCATAGAACTTTATTTACTAAAGTAGGCAGACATATGAATTTGGCCTTCAGCCAGGAGTTTACAGACCTCTACTCTATGATATGCTTGCTTTTTACATGGAAATTCTAAAGTATATATATTTTTATTAAAAGTTCCTGATAGTATATTTTGTTTTAGAAACGTAGTTTGTCAGTATAACTTAGGCTGGTTGCCAAAATAAGCCAAGATTCAAATATTTTAAAGAAATTAATCCTGGGTTAAAAAATTATAAGAATCTCTCCTAGATAGGAACATAAAGATAGATATAAATATATATCTAGCCTACAGAATTACATGTATATGTCGAACAAAAAACTATATTCCAAAATTGGAAATTGTCAAAAGCCCCATGGATAATTGAAAGGATAAGATGTGGCATATTCATCAAATGGACTATATACACCAATGATAAACGTTTTACAACTACGCGTACCAATATGTTAATCTCACAAAATTTTGAATAAAAGCCATGCAAAAGAACAGATACTCAAAGATTACATACTCAGATACTCAAAGATTACATTTATATAAAGTACAAAATTGAGCAAAGCCAACTTATTAAAAATCAAGGAGGGTGGGGCCAATAACTGGAAGAAAAAAATCCCAGAGGGTTTTACAGTAGGGCTGCTAATATTTTTTTCCTTGATCTGCGTGCTTAACACATGTATTCATCTTATAAAAAATATTGAGCTGTACAATTAGGTTATGTGCATTTTTCTATGCATGTATTATACTCTGATAAGTTTAAAATAGAAAAAAGAACTTTCAAGCATTAAGTGAAGTGCCTGTTTTCTTAGAAGTTAAATTAGAGTTATAAAAGTAGGGAAAAATGTCTAAAGTTATTTTATTTGCGTATTCCGAGGTTCATAAGAATAATTCTCAAAAACCATACCACATTTGCAGTTTTGATTTTGCCATGGTCATATGATGTCATTAATTTATAAGTCATGTCAGTAGGTTTATCACCACTAAAACATTAGGTTTTCTGGATGGGGTACAGATCACAGTGTGGTAACACTAGATATTTACTTACTTAGTGAGGCATTTGGAATTTGTATACCATCATAGAACAGATAAACATGGCTTAAGGCTATAACGTGACAGTATTTATGCTGATACTTTTATAACCTTCTAACAGTCAATAACTTATCCAATAATTTCCCTTTTTTTCTGACATGTTGCTTGGACTCCACCAAACCCTTCTTTATGTTTAATGCAGACATGTACATACCTGCTTATATTTTTGTAATACTATGTTCTTAGGCTCTGAGAAAGCATGTTAATCACGATCCAGCATCTTCTCCCCAAGATAAATTAGTCTAGTGGTGAGAGGAATCAGACAGAGACTTGACATTGTGAAAATACCGCATTATTATAGAGGTGCCCAGTATACTTTGGCAGAGGTGAGAAGCTGCCACCTTATGCTGTTAGGGGAGAGCAGTGCAAGGTGAAAGTGGTTAACAGTGAGTTTTAGCTGGAAGAACAACTAAGAATTATTGACATCCAAGCTAAATCTTGAAGAATAAGTACAAGTCAGATGCATGAAGAGGAGATGTTGACGTCAGAGTGCTAGTTTGAAGGAAGACACAAAACATCTTGATGTATTAGACACCTGTTTGTAGAAAATTGTGAAACAAAAGAATGAATTGTGCAGTGAAAGTGATGAAGCAGGGGCCAACTCTGGAGGGCCTCTGTGTCATGCTAAGGAGTCAGAACTCTTATCTCGAAAGCAATGTAAGGTTCTTAACAGACACATTATCTAGTTTGCTTTCTTGAAAATGACCCTCTGGTAGTGTGAAGATTGGATTAAAGGAGAGGAGAAGGACTTGAGACAGATAAATCAATTAGAAACTCAATCCAAGTGAATTTAGGTTCAATCATGACATTTTCAGACTTAAAAAATGTTTCTTGAGCAGCCAATTTAACCATAGTAGTAGAGAAAGAAAAAAATATCATGTCTTTACTATCTCAGGCAAAAAGTGGTTTCTCAGAGCTCTCTTCATAACTCTTGCTCATCTGTGTATTATTTTTTACGTTTATTTACACATCTCTCCTTTATTATGTCAGCTCTAGGAAGGAGTGAAGTGTGTTGGTATTTGGGAACAATGAACTTAGTGCCTGATTTATTGTATGGAAACTTTCAATTATATTCATTCATGAATCTTCAAGTAATACTTAAAAGCAGAAATTTTGAAATATGTTCTTAAACTCTGTGCTTACTCTGTCTTTAACCAATTCACAAAAACTACTAAATTCCTACTGTATCTTTACTCTTTCCATGAAAAGTTTCTTCAAACATGAATCTTCTCTACAAATGTTGATTCAAAGGACACAATTTAAACATTATTGAAGAAACTTTCTAAATTCTGCACTGCTAAGTGGATATTTATCTTTTTTATCTATCCTCACCAGATATTTTGCTTTGGGTAACATGCTTCTTGACTTTGAACTAATTTTTCCAATTTTTAAATTACTAGAGATCTAAGAACTTCTGTCTTTGGGGAAAGTTTATAAAATGACATGCTGTAACAGAAAGTTTTCCTTAGCACCTAGCAGTTCTAACCCTCTCACTGGGAAAAAAGAATGAACTGTGTAGAAATTCGCAATTGTTTCAGAACTTTAGAACATTCTAGCTATGGCCTTTTAATAAGTTCCTTATGTCTCAAATACTTCATATTTAAAATATTCTAAGGGCTTCATACAGTATACATGACCCAGATCTTCACTGAATGGTAGGTGGTATGGAATAGGATGACTGAGGCTTAAAAATGCTAAATTACTTCCCCACTGGAAAGAACTGCTGGCAGTGCCAGGACTTGAACTCATGCATATGTGTGGATTTGCAGCAATCTATACTTTGCAATACACAGGAGGATGAAGCATTTCTCCAGTTCTGTTTTTAAATTTGGCCTAGTTACTGGTGGGGGTGACCAGCTGCTTCACACTTTAATTCTAGTCCCACAGATTTTAGTGCCACGCACTTGTGGGTGGACATAGTAGTTCTTCCTCATTGCCTTGCTCACTTCTACCAAGCATTCCTTTTAGTCTTCTCCTTTCTACCAGTTCCTTCCATTTCCCTCCCTTGATTCAGGCAGCAGTTAGTTCAATGTCTATTTTAGGCTTGCAAGAAAGAAAAGAAAAACTGCTTTGCCTTTAGAAAATGTTATGAAAAAATCAGGAAAATGTTAAAATTATAGAAGTGAGAGGTTACGCAGAAAAGAAATGAGAAAAGATGCCATTTTAATTATAGCTCATAAAACTTTCCTTGGGTAATAGGTGACTGAATTTACCAAAAACATGAGAAAGAGTTCTTTTTAATATGGGTTTACATCTGCTTGCATAGGGTCAATCCTATGATTGTTTTTCCAAGAAAATTAGTATTTTATTTTCAGCATAAATTACATACATATATCCTTGTATGCCTATATACAAAGAGAGAGAGAGAGGGATTTTTATTACCTAAACAAGAACCAAATAATATTACTTAATTTTTAGGCCCCATGAAAATAAAACCTACCTTGCTGTTGGGAGTATGAAGACATTAATGTTGAATGTGTCCTTGTTTAATGCTGGAGATGATGCATATGAAACGACTCTACATGTCAAACTACCCATGGGTCTTTACTTCATTAAGATTTTAGAGCTGGTAAGTACTGTAAACCACAATAGCATGATACTACTTAGTATTTTACTTAATTTTTTAAAAGTAAATGGTAGAATTCACTTCACTGATTTGGGGTATAAGTCTTAATATTTAGGCTCTTAGTTATTTGCAGACTTCTTCCGTGCCCCTGCTCAGAATGGCAAGTTCTTGGGTCTAAAGTCCAAAGGCATCAGCCTCCTGTTTTCCAGTGCTAGGAGTAGGAGGAAGCTGTTTGGGTGCCTTTACATTCTCACTGCCGTAGCCAGCACACGTCTGATGTTGAAATAGTATGCCCCTTGATTGAGGTCCTTGCACAAGTAACATTGATCCTCCATCCTGGACTCCAGAGTTACTGTTCTTTATTTTAAGGTGACACTCAGACAATTAATGGAATTTTCTCTGTCCTTTATCAAATTCACTCGTCTTTTGTCCAGGGACCACCCTTCACACCAGGAGTGACCTTTGACCTCTCACGAATATCTATTACCTTCTTTCTCTAGTGTTTGCAATACTAGCAAAAGTAACCATGGAAACTCAGATATTCAGACTGTATTTTTAAAGCATTTTATACTTATTGCAATTATAATCTCGTTACACCTATTGAGATTATAGCTATTTTGATTAAATACCTTAAACACATTCTCACATACCAGACAGAAGAGGGCCATTAAAATATGAACCTTATAGATTTCTTGCCTCATGATTTTTCAAGGAATTCAGACCCTGAATTAAATAGGGAATATACCAAGATGAATGAAAGCTACAAGTCCAGAAATTTTTTTTGTGGAGAATCTGTTTGAATATTAGGGTATACATCTATACATATATATGTGTGTATATATATACATGTATATATACACGTACATATATGTGTGTATATATACGTGTATATGTACGTATATATATGTCTGTGTATATATATACACACACACATATACACATATACACAGAAACATACATGTGTATATATGTATCTATACATATATATGTGTGTATATATATACATGTGTATATATACGTACATATGTGTGTGTATATACGTGTATATATACGTATATATATGTCTGTATATATATTATACACACACACATATACACATATATACACACATATATTTATATCATTTATTTATATTTCTATGTATCTCAAACATAAACATAAATAGAAAATAGTTTTCCTAGGAAAGCAAATACTTCTGGGATATTCCTTTCCATAACCATCCTTAAACATATGTTACAAAGTTTTTATTTCCTTCCTGTCCAAAACAGTTGTTTCATTTTTCCCATTAGGAAGAGAAGCAAATAAACTGTGAAGTCACAGATAACTCTGGCATGGTACAACTTGACTGCAGTATTGGCTATATATATGTAGATCATCTCTCAAGGGTAAGTGTTTTGCATTTATGCCTTTTGTTCACTATCATGAATATTTTTCTATTCTTCCCTATCTTTATGTTGCATATAAAATGTTATAAATATTTTAGCTTAGGGTAGGTAGCTGAATGATGAAATAAAACTGGTTCTTGAAATCTTTGAGCTTTGTGTTTATATTCTTGGCAATGTTTGCTGTTTTAAAGGGGGTGGCATGTTTACATCGAAATGGACATGTGCATGTGTCAATCAGAATTTTGCTCCCCCTACACACCCTTCCCCAACACTCCCCACCCCGCCACCCCCACCCCAGGTGGTCCTGTCTGCCAGGCATGTTACCTCTGCTACACAAAAAGGTGTTTTTGGCAAGAGTCTTCACTCAAGTTGTGAAAGCATTTCTAATTTTGTCAGTCTGGACTTGCCTGCGTTCACATTCAGAGACGCCTTTGTCTCTGAATGTTACTTGTGTAAATGTGTGTACTTTAAAATTGTCACAACCCCAACAACTTCCCTGAATCTTACTGCCAAGGGAGGAGTAGCTGATGCCTTTAGAATAGGTTCAATTCTACATTCCATAGAACATAAACTTTTAAGAAGAAAATTCAGATTATAAAAAATGTACTTAAGATTTTTTTTTTAATGGGCTTTCCTGCTCTGTGTTTTACAGATAGATATTAGCTTTCTCCTGGATGTGAGCTCACTCAGCAGAGCGGAAGAGGACCTCAATATCACAGTGCATGCTACCTGGTATAAGTTATTGTTATAAAAATGAACTAGAAATGTACCCCCATATTTTGAGGGGGGAATTAGGAAAACCATAAAACTCTGTTCCATTAATTGTAAGAGAAAACTTCCCTTACATGGTCTGCTTTAAAAAAAAAAACAAACAACATAGTTAAATGGGAGTGACTGGTAATGTTTTAGCTCTTGAGCTATGTTAAGTATTTATTAGATTAGAGTGGACATGATGTGTCATGAATCACTCTGTGTATTTGAAATCAAAAACAGAATAAACAGTAATAACTCTACAAGATTTAAAAGTGAGGGCAATGACTGACATAGATATATCTCCTAGAGTAAATAGGAAATCGTTAATGACTATTTCATGAGTGAAGTTTCAACATATTTTTAAAAATTCAGAGTAAACATCAAGATGGACTTCATTTTACCTAACACAACAACTTGGTCACCCTCTCATCCTCAAAATCTCTAAGTAAAATTGATTATAAAGATAGGTTAAGGCAGTACGACACTTGCTATACGGTTTAAAACCTTTTATGATTGATGTGCTTTCTTTGATCATTGAATTAAGTCTTGCAAAAATACTTCTTCAATCTAAAGAGAGTAATAAATTTGTTTCTAAACTACCTATTTATTTTGGTTTTTGTACTACCTAGAACATAAATGTTTTAAAAAAACAACTTTTAATCTAATAAATGTAACTATTTGTTAAAAAAAAAAAAAACAACTCCTCTAGCATTAGAAGCAAATGATAACAGTTTAATGAGAGAAATTTTCTGCCAACCTTATCCTAAAAAATTTTTACTGCCATATCTGCTTTTATCCCCACTCGTCAAAAAGCATCTAAGCAAACCTCTAAGTATATTAGGTATACAGGGTATGTAATTAGTTCTCTCTGAAGATTTTTCTGCTTGATGAATTCTAACAGGGTGTCTTCTATTTGTGTAGTGAAAATGAAGGGGAAATGGACAATCTAAGGCACAGCAGAGTGACTGTAGCAATACCTTTAAAATATGAGGTTAAGCTGACTGTTCATGGGTAAGTAGACACAAAGGCCTCCTTTCAAATTCAGAGCTGATTTACAGTTCCCTTGCTTCTTACATTAATGAAAAAACTGTACTCTAGAATTTTTTTAAAATAAAAAGGGTACTATACTCTTTTAATAATTACCTCGTTTTTATAATTCCTTACTTAGCTGTCCATTATAATAATGCACTCTATAATCATCACTGATACTACATCAAACTAGTACCCTGTTGGAGGAGATTTCTTACTGGGAGAGCCCCAGTAAGCTAGCAAGGCCACACTGAGCCTTTCAGTTGTGCACTGTGTAATCCTAATCAGGAATTAGAAAGTGTGCAGTTTGCATAATCATACTCAACGCCCATGTCAAATGTGAAGTTCAGAGAAGTGTGAACTTAGCCAAATCACTATTCTGCAGACCCGTATCTACACATGTGGCAAATGGATTGCGATGTGAGAGATCTGGTTGCAAGGTGTCCCTTGTCCACTTTTTATACTTATGGGATCACCAGATTCCTCAACTACAGCCCAAGTACCAGAATTCATTGCTTCCTCGTGATTTTAATGATTGAGTGGACCCCCCTCTCATCCAAGAAGGAGATGTGTGGAGAAAGAATTAAAGGGGGCTTACAGAAACCTTCAGTAATTCCACTGGAACTTATTCATGCTGTTAGTCCTTAGAACTACATTTTTATACAGAAGATATGAGTTACAGAACAAATAGACAGATGAGCCTTTCCTGTTGCTCTAAATCTTAACTGTCCCCCAGTCATTTTATCCACTTAGAAAGGTGATATACAGTCATGTAAATGTAAAATGTCAGTGTCTGATGGAATTGAGTATCAAGTTTGAGATAAAACAAACAGGCAAAAAAAGGCCATTCACAGCAGAGTAAGACCTAGAGAATCA